GGTGGAGCCATTTCATGGAGGAGTGCTAAGCAGAAGTGCGTAGCAGACTCCACTAATGTTAAGACGACTTTCCTTAATGGGAACCTTCAAGAAGACATCTATATGCAGCAACCAGAAGGATTCATTGCAAGAGGGCATGAGCGCTTAGTTTGTAAGCTTAATCGGTCCATTTATGGACTGAAGCAAGCTTCAAGGTCTTGGAATATTCGGTTTGATGAGGTAATCCAGTCATATGGATTCACCCAATGTCCGGATGAGCACTGTGTATACAAGAAGATTGGTGGAAGCGTGGTGGTATTTCTTGTGCTATACATGGATGACATACTTCTTATCGGCAACAACAAGAAGGAGTTGTCGGACGTAGAGGCGTGGTTGTCTAAGCAGTTTGATATGAAGGACTTGGGTGAAGCAGGACACATTCTTGGTATCAAGATCATTCGTGATCGTGAGAAAAGAATGATGTGCTTATCCCAGTCTTTATATATACATACTGTCTTGGCCAGATTCAGTATGCAGAACTCTAAGAGAGGTACATTACCTTTCAGACATGAAGTACCTTTATCTAAGGAGTTGTCTCCTAAGACGACTGAGGAGATAGAGGACATGAAGACAGTTCCTTATGCTTCGGCAGTAGGAAGTCTCATGTATGCAATGTTGTGCACTAGGCCTGATATTAGCTACGCCGTTGGCATGGTAGCGAGATATCAAAGTAATCCAGGAAGGAAACATTGGGCTACGGTGAAACATATACTCAAGTACCTGCGAAGGACTAAGGAGTTCATGTTAGTTTACCGTGCAGACAGTTTGTTTCCGCTGGGTTACAGCGATTCTGATTTTCAGTCAGATAGGGACGAGAGTAAGTCAACCTCAGGTGCTAACCAGAAGTGCGTAGCAGACTCCACTATGGAAGCCGAGTACATCGCAGCCTCTGAGGCAGCGAAAGAGGCAGTTTGGCTCAGAAACTTCTTGGTGGACTTAGAAGTGATTCCGAGTTTGCCACATGTTATTACCGTGTACTGTGATAATAGTGGTGCAGTAGCAAATTCAAGGGAACCACGAGCCCACAGAGCAAGCAAACACATAGAGCGCAAATACCACCTTATCAGAGATATTGTGGCAAGAGGAGAAGTTGAGATCACCAAGATTGCATCAGAAGACAACCTAGCTGATACATTTACGAAGAGTTTGCCGGAGAAGGTCTTCGCCAAACACGTAGAGGGAATGGGAGTCAAATGTATGGTGATAGGATCGACATAGGTCTTTTAGGTACGGATTGATAGGACTATAGTAGTAAAGCGGCAGCTTTAAGTATAAGTGGGAGAT